TAGAATAGAATAGAATAGAATAGAATAGAATAGAATAGAATAGAATAATGAAGAACAGAATAGAAAATAGAATAGAAAATAGATTCATTTAACAAACCATGAAACTAACTTAACAACGGCTGCGATTCCCTTAATATGCCCTTTGAGCATGTGACTGGCACCAAGATCTTGATTTTTTTTTTTGTCAGCATTTCCCAGACACCAGCGGTCCTTCCATCCCAACTTCTTTTGTGCATGAAAGCCATCCAGAAGAAATCTAGAATGAAAATCTTATCCCCTTTTTGTGTTCAGTGAGGAGAGAGTTGTTGAAAAGTTCTCAGATTCTCTACTTATTTCTAATGATGCCTTTTTATTTCATTTTGTAGCTCCAGGCTGGGTATTAACATATCTGGCAGCCTGGCTTTATTTTCACAGAATTGTCAACATCACCAACCATAAAAGCCTGAATCTATAACAACTTGGCTCTTTGAAGAGCAACTTTTTAAATGTATGACGTTGAATTGCTTATCAAATTAAACTCCTCGCTCCGTTCCCAGGGTGATGCGTACCGATGGCTTCCTTTCTTTTAAGTGAATAACTTAACTACCAATATTCACTTAACAACTGCAGTGATTCCCTTAACAACTAGAAAGGTCATAAAATGTGGCAAAACTCACTTGGCAACTGTGTGACTTAGCAACACAAGAAAGATAACTTTAAGAAAGTTATAAACGGATAAGGGGATCATCGGAATTTGGAAAATGTGTACTTTTGATCCAGGATTTGGAAAAAAAATAAGCATATTAATTAAATAACATACCACGGGAAACAACTGGGGGAATAAACCTTAAATCCATACTTTATTAGGAACTGAAATTCTTTGAATGTTGAGAATGAACACTAGAGGGGACTAAAGGACTACTAGACAGAATAAAAAACAAATTGTAAGTGAATCTTTAAACTAAGGTTTTAAAATGGTCAACTATGGTACAGTTTTTGAGCTACTTTTGAGAAGCAACCTAGAATGAAGGAGAAACTTCCTAAGAGTGAGGACAATATTTCAGTGGATTGTCTTCAGAAGTTATGGGTTTGAAAAATGGACACCAAGAATAGAATATAATTCTTTATTGGCCAAGTGTGATTGGACACACAAGGAATTTGTCTTGGTGCAAATGCTCTCAGTGTACATAAAAAGAAAAGATACATTCGTCAAGAGTCAAGAATCATAAGGTACAACACTTAATAATAGTCAAAGGGTACAATAAGAATGTAGCAGCATGGAAACTCCTGGTGCTTAATATGGCTTCCAAAGCTGACACTACCTGTAGTTTTTTGACGTCGGGCTCCAGGTAAAAGAAATATAGTTTCCCCCCCCCCATTTTGGAGTTGCAGTCTTGATGCACCAGATTCTGCTTAAGTGCTATATAGAAATAGATGGGATTGATTTGTCCCCACCTGACTTGAAGGACGGGATCTCGCACATACGATCCTGTGCGACATGGGCGATATTTCTGCTTTTTTTCTTTCTTCCTTCCAGCCCTATTCGCTGTAATGTTTGTGATTTGATTGATGTGGCTGCACGTGCTTGTGAAACCGATGAGTTTGCCCTCCGCCTGACCCTTTGCTGGATGTTCTTGTCCCTTTAGTTGTATCCTTTGTGGCTTCTATTATGTATGAGCGCCCTGGTTCACTTGCATCTTGGATTATTCCACACAAAGGACCTGCCATTAAAATTCTAGGGGTGGTTTGTAGATTGTTTGCATCCATGTTTCTCAATCGCAGCAGCTTTAAGCTGGGTGGGCCCAAAGGTGCTTTTTCAAGAGGCAACTGGACTTTCTTGGGTTTTTTCTTTTCTTTAAAAAAAAAAGTTTGTTTCACATCTGTGTCTTGGGAGACTCATCCCCAACAGCCTGTCTTTAAAAGGGAAGGGACACAGGGCAGAGAAAAACATCCTGCAGAAAACACAGCTCCACAACACAATCCTTTCATCAGCTGGTCATTTGCATTGTTTTCAGAATTGTTGAGGCCACTTGGAGGTTTATCTATGTCCTCAGGGTCACCTGAGTAGCGCAAATGGGTGTGGAGCCTTCTTTCAGCAGTTGCAAGAAGGCTCCACACCTATTTGCACTACTCAGGTGACCCTGAGGACAAAGATAAACTCCCAAGTGGCCTCAATGACTCTAAAAAGAATGCAAATGACCAGCTGTCTGCAAGGAGTATGAATCCTTCCCTTCCCCACCATCCAGTCAGAGCTGAAGAAGTTTCTTGGATGAGAAGTGAAATGTCTTCAAGGAAAAACAAGGAAATCCAGTTGCCTCCTGAAAAAAGCACCTTTGGGACCCAGACAAACCTCCAAGTGGCCTCAACTACTCTATAAAAGGATGCAAATGACCAACCATCTGCAAGAGTATAAATCTTTCCCTTCCCCACTATCCAGTTGGAGCTGAAGAAGCTTCTTGGATGAGAAGCGAAATGTCTTCAAGGAAAAACAAGAAAGTCCAGTTGCCTCCTGAAAAAAACACCACTGGGAGTCTCACAGTTATTGTTTCTGAGACAGGCTTTGCGTAATTTGTACTTGTACCTTTGGATTTTCCTGCTTAGGTGTAAAACCTTGCTTTTCTCCACAAATTTCATTTTGTTGGATAGGGAGCTGGAAAACAGGTTAGTGGGGTGGGGAGGGAATGGAGATTTTGCAGTATCCTTCCCCTGCCACACCCACCAAGCCACGCCACACTGACCAAGCCACACCCACAGAACCAGTAGTACACAAATTTGAACCCTACCACTGATGTGTGCCAACTTGAATGTTGAGAATGATTGCTCTGAACACAGTTGCTTGAACTTATTTCCACATTTTGTACATCAAGTTGCAGGCTCCAATCCCAAATATGCAGGTTCTGTTCACTAAAGGGGCAGAGTCAACAGCTAGACAAAGTAGTAGGATAGTTGCTTCATAATTATGCTAAAGAACATCAAATATAGGCAGGCCACCACTTCTGACCACAAAATTGAGCTCGAAATTGATGTGAGAAATTCATTCAGTGAGTTTCGCCCCATTTTAAGACTTTTTTTGCCGCATTTGTTAACCGAGTCTCTGCCGTTCTTAAATTAGGAACACGGTTGTTAAGTGAATCTGGCTTCCCCATTAATTTTCCTCGTCAGAAAGGGAATCACATGACTCCGGAATGCAGCAACCATCATAAATGTGAATCCGTGGCCAAGTATCCCGATGTAAATCACGTGACCACAGGGATGCTGTCATGGCCGTCAGTGTGCAAAATGGTCATAAATAAGTGTTGTAAGTCAAGGATACCTGTAATCAAAATTATTAAAATGAACCATTTTAGCAATTCAAATTAGTTAATTCAAATTATTATTAAAAAATAAATAAAAACCATGATCTCCAGAAACATGTATCAGAATTGCAGCCCTGTTGTTTTCTTTCTTTTCTTCTTTCTCTTTCTTTCTCTTTCTTTCTCTTTCTCTTTCTCTTTCTTTCTCTTTCTTTTTCTTTCTCTTTCTCTCGTTCCCTCTTTCTCTTTCTTTCTCTTTTTTCCCTCTTTCTTTCTCTCTCTTTCTTTCTCTCTCTCTCTCTCTTTCTCTTTCTCTTTTCTTTCTTTCCCTTTCTTTCTTTCTTTCTTTCCCTTTCTTTCTTTCTTTCTTTCTTTCTTTCTTTCTTTCTTTCTTTCTTTCTTTCTTTCTTTCTTTCTTTCTTTCTTTCTTTCTTTCTTTCTTTCTTTCTTCTTTCTTTCTTCTTTCTCTTTCTTTCTTTCTCCTTAGAAAGCTTTCCCGATAACCAAAACGCTCATGAAGAAGACCATAATGAAAAAGATCCACATGAAAAAACGGTCCATCACTTTTGCGACTTTTTTCCATTCGATGCCTTTGGCGTGGTTAGCTTTGTGGCGCCTCACGCAATCGGCGATATATTCAATATTCTGGATTAATGCTCGGTAACAAGAGCAGCAGCTCACCGGGTCCCGTATCCCGAGCCCATTCGCCTCATTCTCTTCATCCATCGGCTTCCTCTGGGAGTCCCTGTCCATGCTGTCCCCATTAGGAAGGGTCTTCTTCCTTTCTTCATACTCGCCATGCTCTGTTGGACTTGGGTGGGCTGGTGGTGACTCTGCGTCCTGCTCTTTCGCACACTGCAAGCTGGTACAATTTTCACCCACATCGTACACAAAGAAGATCTTGGACATGTAGTCCAGGATGATCACCCTTGCCCACTGCGGAACGGGCTTGGCTCCGGAGCCACAGTAATGAATATTCATTATAATGATAGTCAGCGCCGTCGATGCAGTAATCATTGTCATCGTCACGATGTAATATTTCCCTGGGATGCAAAAAATCAGAGCCACAAAGAAAGAACAAATGAAATACAAATAGTTGCCCACAGAGGACCACAATCAAGCACAAAATTTCTGTCGCTACATGAGATATTCGTTAAGTGGGTTTTGCCCTGTGTTCCGACTCTTCTCACCGCTTTGTTAAGTGAATCGCTGCCATTGTTCCATGAGTAAACATGGTTGTTAAGTGAATCGGGTTTCCCTGTTGAGTCTGCTTGCTTGTGAGAAGGTTGCAAAAGGGGATCACTGACCCCTCCCCAGGGACACTGCAAACGTCATACATGTGAGTCAATAGTCCAGCATCCAAATGTAAATCATGTGACTGTACGGATGGTCATCTGTGTGAAAAATGGCCATGGTCATCAGCTGCCTTTGGACTCGGACAGCAGTGAGGTGGGGGAACTTCTGGAACCGGTTCCCAGCCTGCGCATGTGCAGAGCTGCCAAAAGGAAGGAACAATTAAGGACTCAGGGTCGACATAGGAGTAAGGCCACAGGTGGACGATGAACGGCCCCTCCCTTAAGGATTAAAAAAGGAGCAAAAGGGGAGGGGGTTTTATCAGGAAACAATTCGTTCGTTCATTCGTTCGTTCGTTCATTTCAGCCTGTGTAACCTAAAGACTCTGTGCCCAGCCCTTCCCTGTCAGCACTGTGTGTGGAAATATTTACTGGGCAGCTTTCCAAGATAGATAAGGTTTGAGCTAATAATTATACCCCTGAAAGACTGTTTGCCAGGCCGTTGGCTGAATGTGAATGCAATAAATTCACATTCATTTAATAAAAGAGGTTTTGCCAGGACACAGAGTTTTCTTAGTGCTTTTTGGGGAAGCCTAGGACAGAACAATTTATCTCCTGGAAGTTATATAGATAGATGCAAATACCTACCTATCAAGGGCACGTTGTCAGAAGGCGGCATGCTTTCGGCAACCATGAGCTGAAAGACAGTTAGAGAAAGCAGCACCGTAACTCCGAGAGATACTTTTTCTCCAGAGTCTGCAGGAAGGTAGAATCCCAGTGGAGCCAGGAATGATATCAGGAGACAAGGAAGCAGCAGGTTAAATATATAGAAAGAGGACTTCCTTTTCAAGATGAGAGTGAAGGTAACATCTGGGTAAGGCTCGGAACAACAACCATAAGTAATCACGTTCTTAACAGCTGGCATGCCATGGATTTCCCACTCCACATCTTCGATGAGGTCCGAGAGGTCGCCAGAGTCTAACGTGCTGAAGATGTCCACTTGATTCCCATTGTAGGTCCAAGAACCGAAAGTCAGATTGCACTGCTGGCTATCGAAAGGGAAGTAGGATACGTCCACCACGCAAGAGCTTTTTGTGATGGCTGGTGCATCCCAAGTGATCTTCCCATCGTACCTCAAGACGATATTGGTGTTTACCGGTTCCGAAAAATCGTCATCAGCCCTAAAAAAACCCCAAAACAAAACAGAAGATCAGAAAAACAGTTGCTGGGTGGGTGTGGCCATGGTGGGCATGGCCCTCTGGAACTTCCGGTAGGGCCATTTTTTGCCTTCCCCAGGGTCTGGAGGCTTCCCTCGAGTCTCTGAGAGGACGAAAACGGTCTCACCCAGGGTCCGAAGGCCCTCTGGAAGCCGGAAACAGGCCCGTTTCCAGACTTCTGGTACTTCCAGGAGGGCTGTTTTTCACCTTCCTCAGGGTCCAGAGGCTTCCCTTGGGCCACTTCCCTTCCCTCAGGCCCATTTCCGGACTTCTGGAAGGCCTGTTTTTGCCTTCTCAGGGCCTTCGCGTGGACCCTGCACTTACCTGCGTCCAAAATGGGCCACAGGGAGACTCCGTGAGGGGCCAGCCGGTCGATTCAACTCCCGATTCAGTGAACCACATGTAACATCCGGTTCGCTCAAACCGATCTGAACCGGCTGAATCCCACCCCTGAGAAGAACACACCACAATGCTCCCGATGTCATGAGGTGTGGAATTATCTTGGCTATGAGAGTTTCCTCCTCAAGGAGTTTAGGACAACTCGACGCAAGACAATTCAACGTTGCATTAATCATTTCATTCAGTTACTTGTGTTATCGGGGACCACGTTTTTGTTCGAAATTATTGTAACTCATGTATTTCTGGATTGACTTTCTTTCGTTTTTATTGGCCACCGTTCCATTGATAGTAATTTAAATTTTGTATTTGTTGAATTGTCCTGCACCGAGTTGTCTGCAGTGAATTGGCTGCGGTGACTTTGTCCCATCCGTCCTTGGCTTGGTTTGCTCTCTTATGTAATGCAGAGTTTTATTGTGTGTCTTGGGGAATTGTGGGACATATAAAGATGCTCTTGCTTCCCTGCCTATCATCTTCTCTATAGTCCTGCTTCAAAAGCATGAGCTGGATGCCAACCCTGTGTTTTCCCGCTCAGATTTTGCTTGGGCCTTCAACATTTCAGCTCTATAGCAATAACACTTAGACTTATATACCACTTCATAGTGCTTTACACCTCTCTCTAAGTGGTTTTACAGTCAGCCTATTTCCCCCAACAATGTGGGTCCTCATTTTACCTATCTCAAAAGGATGGAAGGCTGAGTCAACCTTGAGCCGGTCAGGATCGAAATGCAGGAGCAAGCAGAGAGTTAGCCTGCATTACTGTATACTAACCACTGCGCCACCACAGCTTTTAAAGATAGCAATAGCATTTAGACTTATATACCACTTCACACAGTGCTTTATAGACCTCTCTAGATGGCTTACAGAGTCAGTCTCTTGCCCCCAACAATCTGGGTCCTCTTTTTGCCGACTTTGGAAGGACAGAAGGCTGAGTCAACCTTGAGCCAGCCAGAATCGAACAGCTGGCAGTGGTCAGAGTTAGCTTGCAATACTGCCTTCTAACCATTGCACCATCACAGCTCTTGGTGGTAGTTATAGTTGATTATACTATCATAACCAGGAAAAACTTGAAAGCAGGAAAGACACAAGCAACTGCTGGCCCAAAAGGAAAAAAATCAGAAACCAGAAAGCAATGCAGAGTTGTTTTTAGTTTAGCTTAGTTAACAGTAGTTAGTTAACAGTGGTTTCCTCCAGAAGAGCAGATACCAAGCCTTGTAATCAGGGATGGGCTTCAAACTATTTAGCAAGGGGCTCTCTGCCCTAATGACTGGCTGTCTGGGCGTGGCTGGGTGGTCATGTGACTGGATGAGTGTGGCGACCTCAACATCGCTTCTTTTCCCTATTTACCTAAAAAAAAGATACCAAAAACTTGTTTGTTATTTCATGCATTTAATATTTAAATAAAAGACTGGGTGAAACCAGGCTTCATAGCAGTGACAGTGAGAGGGATCTTGGCGTCTTAGTGGAGTTTCTGGTGAGTTACGTGATTCTTATTATTTGGGAATTAATCCCCTCAGAGGCTAGTGGCTAATGTTATCTGATTTTCTCCATGGCTCTCCCTTGCAAGCGCTGAATAGATTGTTTATCTAGGTTGCAACACTTCGACGAGGTGTGAAATGCTCTTGGCTGAATGCCCAGAAGTTCAATTAAGCCTATTAAGAGCTTTCCCTTGCTCCTTGTCTTTCTGAGGTTCTTGGGGGTTCTCCGAGCCCCGCAGAGTCTTAGCTAGGGGCTCTCCCGAGCCCCTGCGAGCCCCCAGCAGCCTACTCCTGCTTGTAATTATAATCCCCTGGTAGAGTTGCAAGAAGAACCGAATCATTACTAGAGATTAAATAAGTTGGACAAAAACGATATCTCTTTAGTCCATAGTTCTGATTGTTCAAGGTCCAGAGATACTTATTCTGTATCTCATGAGGCTCTGCATAGTAACTCTGCACTTCCTTTAAACAGAATCCCAAAGGTGCTTTTTTTTTTTTCGAGAAGCAACTGGACTTTCTGGTTTTTCTTTGAAGATGTTTCAGAGAAGCTCCTTCGGCTCTGGTTAGTTGGTTCTGTTTAAATGTCTCCAGCTCCGGAGAGCTGAAGAAGCTTCTTGGATGAGAAGTGAAACATCTTCAATAGAGTCCTTGGGGGGTTAGGCTTTTAAAAGATAACTCTCACCAGATGCGGGGAATGGCTAGTTTCGTTTCTGCAAAGCCCTGAGCAGAGCAAATATTCCAGACAGACTTACTTGTTGTAGAGTACAATGTCTGGTCTCCATACCAGGTTGCTAGGGATCCGGATGGAATCTAACCCATCGTATCTGTCTTTGTCCCACTTCAGATAGGCATCGTACCACGTCTGGCGAATCCAGAGGTAGACTGTCAAAATTTGGTTTCTTTCGTCCTAGTGTAAGATAATTGTAACCTTTACTGGGGAACATTGGAAGGTGTTTATCCGACCTGCCACAACTTAAACCTCTAAAAACAACAACTGAATGAAAAACTGCTGCTGGCCTTCTACCACTGCACCATAGAGAGTATCTTAACTTAATGCACCTCTGTATGGTTTGCCAATTGCACAGTGGCAGATAGGACAGCACTCCAGAGGATTAACATCATTGCCCAGGGTAGTGGTCACCAAGCAGTAGACCGGGGACCACTGGTGGTCCATGAGAAAATTTTAGTGGTCCACACAGAAATGTCACCCCCAAAGCACCTCTCAAAGCAATTAATCAATTAATTGTGCGGGAACACAAGGCTGCACCGCCCACATGGCCCTCAGGAACACAAGGCTTGCAGGAGGCTGGACTAGAAGACCTCCAACATCCCTTCCAACTCTGTTATTCTGTATATCAGTTCTCTGTCATGCCCCTGGTGGAGACTAACTCTGAGGGAGAGGAGGAACAGCCGACAGGGAGTGGAAGTGTGGCTCCGGAGGTTGTGGAGGAGGCTGGGGAAGGGCAGAGGCCAGCTGAGCAGTCAGAGGAGGACCCAGGCCCATCCCCTATCCATCCTAGGGCACACAGGGAGGAGAGGATAAGGGAGAGATGTGGTCTACTTGGGAGGAGAGGGCCTTGATCCTCTTCATGGGCTGCAGCTGTGACAACTGCATAAGAGTTTGGGCCTGCATACTGGCGAACACTGGAAACAAAGCGTGTAAATATCTCTAGTTTATAGTTCCTCTTTGAGTTTGGCATCCTTCCCAGTGTGTGTTATCTGTGGACCTTCTCCAGCCCTTATGTTGCCTGGTTTGTGTTGCTTTTTTTCCTTCTTCGTGTAACTGTTTGTGTGGGACTGTTTTTGTCTTCTGTCAGATATTTGGAGCTTGGAAGCAAAGTGAAGGAATAAAAGGGGCTTCACCAGGTTTCGGTGACTGTGTTTGTTTTGTATCCCACCCTGGGTCATCACATTGTCTACAACTTCTTAAATTCCAACCAACCCAAGGAGATTTGAATTGGAGAGCTCAAAGTTGATTATTATTCTGCCTACATGCTTTCGATACTTACCATATCTTTAATTTGGGAAAGTGTGATCTGAAGGGTAACATTCAGCACCATATCTGTGTCTTCAACAGGCCGGAGAGCATTGGAGTAGTCTTCAAACAGCTCATTGAACAGCATCTGGGCATATTTTCCTTGCGCTGCACCAGTGCCTGGATGGGAAACCAAATTGAAATGGTTCAAAACAGTCGCTTGAAAAAAGACACGTGGAAACTATTGTTGTGTTCCATGGTAGTGATCTCCAACCGGTGGGCCGGGGACCACCGGCGGTCCACGAGAAAATTTTGGTGGTCTGCAGAGAAATGTCACCCCCCCCAAAGCACTCCCCCCAAAGCAATTAATCCAGGCTGCGCAGGAACACAAGGCTGCGCCGCCCACATGGCCTGCAGAAATACAAGGCTTGCATCGCTTGCATTGCAAACAACACCAGGTAGTGAGAGGAGGTGGGAAAGGGCTGAGGGGGGAAACTTGCCCCACCAGCCCCATGCACCTGGCCTGGCCACTGGGTTGCTTTTTTCCATGTTCTGACCCAAACCTTATTCCAACGAAACAAACACCAGACGGAGGTAACAGCAAAACCTTTTAATGATTCTTTACGGATTCCATTCCTTTCCGGTTAAAAGGCTGTTTCAAACTAATTGTCTCTGATAAGAGCGAGCCTTGCCAAGGTTGTGCAAGGCTTCCAAGAACACTAGATAAAGTTGACAAGAAATATTTCAAACGCAAAGAGTCTCCAAACACAAACTAAGAGAGTCCAAACGTCCACAAGGCTTGAGTGCAAAAACTTCTTTGCTTCCTGCAAAGAACTCCAGTTTCTCAGCTGGCTTTTCTCCCTTATGGGAAGGGCCATCACCTTGCAGCCTTACTACCGAGTCGCCCATGCTACTGCAGCTGCTCTTTCCTTCGAGCAGCCCTGTGCTCACGCACACTGGGTGCAGGCTCCTCGGGGACCTCTTCATCACTTCTGCCAGCCTCCACAATCTCCAAAGGCAGCATTCCACTCCCTGATGGTCCTGGCCCCATCCCTGCATCACACGCAGGCCCCTCATCTGAGTCCTCACTCTCCAAGACCTCAGCTGTCCACACCTGTTGCCGCCGAACCACAACATTCTGCTTCCTTCTTCTTGCATGCAAGGAAAGCAGCAAAAGCCTTTCTTTGTCACCCCCAAACTCTACCAGAAATGAGTCTTTGGGACTCTGCAAGGCTTCCTGCTCCAAGAGGCTGCACCGGCAAAGACTCATTTCTGGTGGAGTTTGGGGGAGAGTATGAAAGACTTCTGCTGCTTCTGCTGCTTTCCTTGCATGAAGCCAAAAGTCTCTCTCTCTTTCTCTCCCCCTGAGAATGGAGCTGGAGATGGTATCCTGCGATTCCAAATAAAGAATGATCAATTAGTAGGAAAACAGGGTGGGGAATTTTCCTGCAGACTTTTTGGGGGGATTTTCCCAGGGTCTCTGCAGAAAAAGCAGAAGCAGGGAATCGACTGGCAACAAGATGGAATGATTCAGACTTAGGACCATGCTTGCGGCATCCCCACAGTCACATGATCAAAATTCAGATGCTTGGCAATTGGCTCGTACTTATGCGTTGTAGCGTCAATTGGCAATTGGCTCGTACTTATGCATCCCACGGGAATTACGTGATCCCTTTTTGCGACCTTCTGACAAGGAAAGTCAATGGGAGAAGCCAGACTCACTTAACAACCGGGTTACCAATTGAACAACTGTGCCAATTCACTTTAACGACCGTGTCCATAAAATGGAGCAAATTGAACTTAATAACTGCACTGATTCACTCACCAGCAAGAAAGGTGGTGAAGTGCAGCCAAACTCACTTAACAAATGTTTCACTTAGCAACATATATGGTTGAACTCCATGTGGGTCATAACTCAAGGACTACCTGTACAAAAACCATTGATTCCTTCTGGAAATTATGATTCCCCCTGATCTACAAAGGAAATTATAGCACTGCAGGGGAAGCAATTGGGCACTAATTGTTCTCCCCGTCATTCAACCAACTGCCAAGTTTCCTACTTACCTTGAAGCATTCCTGCTGTGAAAGCTACGAGAGAGCAAATGCTAATAATCCTCATTGCAGAGATGGACAAATTACAATGCTTTGCCAATGAGAAGATCCATCATTCCGCTTTGCAAACCCGTCACAGGTGACAGCAGGAACCTGTTTCCCAGGTTGTAGCCAGTTTGGTCGGTCTTCCGTAAGATCCCTTTTGTTTTTTTTGGTCTTGTGATCTTGCTCCCTCATGCCAAGTAACATGTGCCAGCAGGTAACTTGAGAATTAGCTACCAAGGAACAAAGCGAAGGGTATCGGGAGGAAACCAGCTGATGATACGGAGTTCAAGCTTAGCGCTCACGTTTCTCTGGTTCATAGAATTACATAAGCGCTCTCTCCTGTGGAAGACATACACCAAATTGCTACTCAAGTCATTCCACCTCCTTCTGACTTATTACTGGTTGCCCTTCAACTGTGAATGTGCTTGCCTAGACTTTAGAATAGAATAGAGTAGAGCAGTGGAGAGCAGAGCAGAGGAGAGCAGAACAGAACTGTGATGGCGAACCTATGGCATGCATGCCACAAGTGGCATGCAGAGCCATTTGAGCCAGCACGCAAGCTGCAGGCAAACTTACCTCACTGCACATGCGCGCGCCTCATACCTGATTTTCGGTCAGTTTGAGGCCGTTTTCGGCCTCCCAAAGGCTTGAGGAAGGCTTCTGCAGGCTTTGCAGGCCGAAAACTAGCCTTGTTTCGTCACTTCCAGTATTTTCAGAAAAACAGGAAGTGATAAAATGGAGCTAGATTTTGGCCTACAAAGCTTGTAGAAGCCTGCAGAAGCCTTCCTCAAGCCTTTGGGAGGCCAAGAAAGGCCTCAAACTGGTCGAAAATCAGCTGTGAGGTGCAGTGCAGTAAGGGGGCGATGGGGGTGGGTGGGTGGGATTGTACGTGCATGTGTAGGGGCCGTGGGGGGTGCGCATTGCCTTCTGGGTGCTGGCATGCAAGCGCAAGCATGCAAGCACACACACAATTTTTCACATAGGAGCCCAAAAAAGAGCCACCACTGTGATAGAAAAATGATAATATAAGAGAAAATAATAGAAGAGAAGAATAGCATAGCATAGCATAGAAAATAGAATAGAATAGGGAAGAGAAGAATATAATAGAAAAGGATATGATAGGGAAGACTAGAATAGAATAGAATAGAATAGAATAGAATAGAATTCTTTATTGGCCAAGTGTGATTGGACACACAAGGAATTTGTCTTGCTGCATATGCTCTTGGTGTACATAAAAAGAAAAAAGATACATTCATCAAGAATCATAAGGTACAACAATAGTCATAGGGTACAATAAGCAATCGAATCATACTAGGAGACAGTCAATATATATCGTAAGGATACAAGCGACAAAGTTAACAGTCATACAGTCACAAGTGGGAGGGGATGGGTGATAAGGAGTGATGAGAAGATTAATAGTAATAGTAGTGCAGACTTTGTAAATAGTTGGACAGTGTTGAGGGAATTATTTGTTTAGCAGAGTGATGGCTTTCAGGAAAAAACTGTCCTTGTGTCTAGTTGTTCTGAGTGTGCAGTGCTCTCTAGCGCGTTTTGTGGGAAGAAGTTGAAACAGTTTATGTCCGGGATATGAGAGGTCTGTAGAATCAAAGAGGGCTGTGAAAATACAGTATTTACAGTCCTCTTTTTGACTCGTGCAGGATACAAGTCCTACATGGAAGGCAGGTTGGTAGCCATTTTTTTTTGTCTGCAGTCCTCATTACCCTCTGAAGTCTGTGTCTGTCTTGTTGAGTTTCAGAACCAAACCAGACAGTTATAGAGATGCAGATGACAGACTCCATCATTCCTCTGTAGAACTGGATCAGCAGCTCCTTTTGGGCAGTTTGAGCTTCCTGAGTTGGTGCAGACTTTGTTCAATTTATAGTAGTTTGTTGTGGGGTCCTTAGTGCCCTCTAAGCTTGGTGGCTTCCTTGCAGACATTTCGTTACTCAACTACATAACATTATCGGTGCTACCTAGCTCATACCTACTGGTTATTTCCTACTTGGGCCATAAAATGTCTGCAAGAAAATTAATCTCTCCCATGGTATAGCTAGCAAAGTGAGGAGAGCAAGTAAGAGAGCAATAAGCAAGTAGCCTGGGTTTGAATCCCAGAAGAGTATGGCTAGCTCACATAAATAGATACTGTAGATACTGTCGCTCGATGTAGATTTATACTAGTCTCCCTTTATTTTGTTGTTGGTAAATAAAAATTGAACACAAAAATAGTTTGTTGCAAAAAGCGACTGCCTGCGAAGGCTCCTGGATTGGAGCTGAAAGGCGAAAGTGGAAGCAGTATGGTCCGTCTCATATTTGGGGAGATATTAGGTCTCACTAGAAAAAAAAAAAACACGCCTGCAAGAAAACCACCAAGCTCAGAGAGAGAACCAAGGATCCCCAGTTCAACTCTTGAGCTACAAATACTGGTATTTGGGTTGATGCAACATGGTAAATCTGACATGGTAAATCACACAGGCTGGGTTCACAGCAAAAAAATATAAAATACTAGCTTGATACCCATGCTTTGCTGTGAAACTATGTGGTCGGGTTGAGTTTTTGGGGAGGAAAAATAAGGGGGGGGGGGGAATTTTGCCTCTGCCTACCAGCATCCACTGGTATTCATCTGGCTAGCATCCTGTCAGTGAGTTGAGGACTGTTTGGAAACTGAAACCATATTTGCTGTGCAAGCAAGGGGACAGCAAGGAGCCTGGGCATGGCTTAGCTCAACTGTTCTGTACTAAAGCTGCTTGGTGCTCTGAAACTGCTCTCCTCTGCTTGTGTTTTGCAGGGGAGAACTCCTTAGCATCAGAGTATGTTAATAATTATTATATACAAAATACTAATGCTCTTATGGTCATTTGGCAAAATCCTTTCTTAGTGAGCCCCTAGAAGCCAAGAGGAACATACATGTCAAATTTCAAGTTTGCAGGCTTTACGGTTCTGGAGATTTTGTGATGATGCGCGAGTGGTATTTTGTGTATATATATTTCATAAAGTCCAATTGCCTCTTGAAAAAGCATGTTTGTGACAACCACGACCAGGGTGACTGAGAATCTCCATAAATCTTAGTAGCTGCAAAACTGAATGTATGTGAAGGAATGTAAAGTTTTCCTGTGCTATCCGTGCCTGTCTTCCATTTGAGTTTCAAGGCCTGGAGAAAATGAACCACAGAAAACCCAAACCAAAGGGAGAAGATGAAAAGTTAATTTTATATTTTGAGCAATAGCTGAGATAGTGACAAGAGGTTAAAAAGTTTTAAGAAAATAAAGTCTCTTGATACCACTGAAGTTTTATAGGCTTTATTCAACATTACAAAATCCATTTGTAGCACAGAAGAAAATAGTTCATTCATTCATTAACATTAAAATGCAGATTCTGCAGGAATATTCTAAATACATTTGGGTTGTTTCTATAGGTAATACATCCTATAAAATACAACAGCTAGCCCTTTCCCTTCTCAAGTTAAGGAACCAAAAAGACTTCATCCCTTCTGCTGAGAGAAATACAGCAGTGTTTGCTTGAGCAATGTAAGAGTATTTAAAAAAAATACTGCACCTGAGCCCCACACCCCCACAGCTAGTCTTCGTGGTTATAATATGGCTTTTCCTTAGGAATTTTTTAAAAAAGTTATGCAACAGTCACAGCAAAGGAGTGAATATTCAGCACATCATCCAAAATTTCACACCCAAAGCTAGACTCTGTTGCAGGGGGTATTCAAACTTGGCAAGTTTTAAGACTTGTGGAACTTCCAACTCCCAGAATTCCTCCTCTAGTCATGTTACCTCAGGAATTCTGAGAGCTGGAAGTTCCACAAGTCTTAAAACTTGCCAAGCTTGAAGACCTTTGCTCTATTGTTTCAATATGAAATAGACAAAAAGTCACGACTGTTGTACAAAAACAGTCTCCCTACAGAAAACAGTCTTTATGAAAGTTTGATTCCAAAATACCAGTCCTCACCCTGGGAATGTTGCAATTATTAATAAAATTAAGCACAGTCCATAGTTAAGGCTGACTTGCATCGACGTAATTTTTGGCTTTTTTTTTTTTTAAGGTTGGCTGTTAACTCCTGGTCTTCCAGGAAGTGGTCGACATGGCCACCTGGCTAATTGAAGAATGATCCTCTCTGGGAAACTACAGCTGACTGCATTTGTGAGCGAGCCCAGCCAAAAAGAGCGAATGCAATACCGTTCCGTGGGGAGGTTAAGCCGCCTCAGAGCTCCGTGAAACACATCCAAGAATCGCCGCTTGCACAGTAGGCGCCAGTTGCCATACAAGAAGAGAGGCCCTTCCCCACGAGGCCTCACTGCCAAGTAATTCTTGAGCGCCAGAACAGGGCAAAGCCATGGTTGCGCAGAGGGTCTCAACCAGTAGGTGAAGCGGCCTGCACCCATCTCGGCAGCCGTTATATGGAGGCCCACGCAGTCGTCCCCCAGCTCAATGTCATCCAAGCAAAGAAGTTCCGGGTGGAAAGTGGTGCAGGTCTTGGCCACAATCTCTTTAGGGCGAAGTGCGGCATGGAAAGACAACAGAAACACCGCCCGAAACATAAGGCATTCATACATGCCGTCGCAGACGCTCTCGAGGGCTCCCAGCACCGATTCCAGAGTCTCTACGTTCAGCGGGATCGGGGGTTCTTGCTGCCACTTCATGCAGATGATCATGTGGGAAGTGAACAGGTCCTGAAGCGGATCCTGGAAATTGAAAGTGTGGGATAGGTAGGAAAGGCCAGAGAGGTAGGTCAGGATTCTGGGGGCAGAGACATCTTCCGAATCCAGAGACAGGAGGAAGCCTCGGATCTGGTGTCCCGGGATGGGCCAAACCGAGGGGAACCTGACCATGGCGCGATAGGCGATGAACAGCACCAACCCCCCATAGTATATTTTCCAAATCCTGGGGTGCCCTGATCGCTCAAGGATGCGCAGGGCCTGGATAGACCACCGGCCTACAGGATGGGGTGAAAAGCTGCCAGGGGCTTGGCCTCCAGTAGCCCCTTCCCCTGGAAAGCAGAAGAAAAAAAATAAACCATCAGCAACTATTCACAAATAGCAACATTATTTTAAAACATCTACAAGGAAGGTGTTCAAA